AGGCAACTGTCACCTCTCTCTCTCTCTCGAATAATTAATTCAAGTAGCTAAATGTTATAATGAATTAATTCAAATAAATGCGATCTTACCGCACTATTTCATCTCTTTCTGATCTGAAGCGGGCATAATGCTGAACTAACGAGCTGTAGCTTCGCGTCAGGTGGTTCTTGCCTATACGTCGTGCATTAAAATTGTTCAATGTACAGCTAGCCGTGCATTATCCCTTATGTATTCGCTCTTTAGCAGCAGTTTTTTACAGCAATATTTAAATGACACCCTGGTCATTCTTGGTGTACCCAAAATGGTCCCACACTATCGACAGGCATTTCTCTGGTGGAAATACAGCTTCGCTGTTTGGTCCCTCTGTCACAGTTCATCTAATGCATGTAGTAGCCTCCATGCCTCTGATAAGCACGTCATTTTAAGATGGTGCACCGCTAGTGTAACTTTTTTCGTTTTGCGCAAGCTGCAACAGTTCCGTTCCGTGTAACAGAAACACTCGGTTTAGCGGAACCTTTACGATTAATTAACCGTGACGTTTTAAAGCGCGGTTAATCGCGAAACCGGTTAATCGCTGCATCCCTATTTGACATGTAGGAAGATCAATGCTCAGCTGGACTCACACTGGCAGCCGATCTGATGTGTGGCGTTCAGCAGTCGGACACAAGGAACCGTTTCATTGAGCTCAACATAGATCTTCTGTTCCACTGAGCTGGAGCACACGCCTGCAGCAGCAGAGACACACATCACACGCTTCAGACCGTCACATCACACGCTACTGCTACATATATATATATATATACACACTATATACACAGCGGGTAAAATACACGTCACCATTTTTAACCTAACCCTAATTTCTGAATTTATTTGTTTTGTTTTCTTTGTATGTATGGATTACTTTGGTTGTTACTGACATCTGGTGAAAATTTCATGTCAACAGCACCTTTAGAAATATATTTACTGAGAAAAATGGTGATGTGTTCGATTCTTATTTTACCCGCTGTATATATTCCTGCTCACTCATCTGTTTTTGTACTAACATTTTTGTGCATTTTACACGTGCTGATTCAGACTAAACTGAACTATTTTGACTTTTGAAATATACAAAACTTAACAAAAATTGTAAACATTATTTAGAATAATTATTATTATATAATAATTTATGACTGTTTGATTCTTAGGATTTGTAACATTTAAAAAAAAAACATTAAGACATTTAAAAAAAAAGAAACCCAAAAATATTTACTATTTATAACACAAAAATACAAAATAAATAATTTTAAAATGCACAATCCATTGTTCTCGCTCACATAAATGAAACATGCCTTTAAAAGGTTTGTTTTCATGTATAAACCATTTCATTGCTCTGCATACGTGTATATGACTGGAATGACACATTTAAACCAGAATGTGCAGCACAGCACGAATTCAGACTGAATTGAACCAGTTTGATTTTCTGAAATATACAAATCTTTAGAAAATATATATATTTTTTAATTATAATAATTTTAATACTTAGGATTTTATACCACCACCTTAGATAAAATATCAGTCAGTATATCTCAAAGGCTGACTTAATCTGAAGTGACATTAAGCAAGTACAATTTCTCTTTTTTTCCATAATACACACATATTAAAGATTAGGGAACCATGTTGCTGGTAATTACCAGAGGGCTTTTTAAAAGTCTTTTTATGGACTATTTAATATGTAAAATCATGGTACAGTGACGGTAATACTACTGTACTTTGATATAATCCATGATCACAATCATTTAACGTTACCATGGTATTATTTACATGTTACTCCAGGATACTTTAAAGAATATAATGGTGTTAGCACGGTGCACACACACACACACACACACACACACACTCACTCTCACACACACACACACACTCTCTCTCACTCACTCACACACACACACACTCTCACACTCTCTCTCACACACACACTCACACACACTCACACACACACACTCACACACACTCACACACACACACTCACACACACTCACACACACACACTCACACACACTCACACACACACACTCACACACACTCACACACACACACTCACACACACTCACACACACACACTCACACACACTCACACACACACACTCACACACACTCACACACACACACTCACACACACTCACACACACACACTCACACACACTCACACACACACACTCACACACACTCACACACACACACTCACACACACTCACACACACACACTCACACACACTCACACACACACACTCACACACACTCACACACACACACTCACACACACTCACACACACACACTCACACACACTCACACACACACACTCACACACACTCACACACACACACTCACACACACTCACACACACACACTCACACACACTCACACACACACACTCACACACACTCACACACACACACTCACACACACTCACACACACACACTCACACACACTCACACACACACACTCACACACACTCACACACACACACTCACACACACTCACACACACACACTCACACACACTCACACACACACACTCACACACACTCACACACACACACTCACACACACTCACACACACACACTCACACACACTCACACACACACACTCACACACACTCACACACACACACTCACACACACTCACACACACACACTCACACACACTCACACACACACACTCACACACACTCACACACACACACTCACACACACTCACACACACACACTCACACACACTCACACACACACACTCACACACACTCACACACACACACTCACACACACTCACACACACACACTCACACACACTCACACACACACACTCACACACACTCACACACACACACTCACACACACTCACACACACACACTCACACACACTCACACACACACACTCACACACACTCACACACACACACTCACACACACTCACACACACACACTCACACACACTCACACACACACACTCACACACACTCACACACACACACTCACACACACTCACACACACACACTCACACACACTCACACACACACACTCACACACACTCACACACACACACTCACACACACTCACACACACACACTCACACACACTCACACACACACACTCACACACACTCACACACACACACTCACACACACTCACACACACACACTCACACACACTCACACACACACACTCACACACACTCACACACACACACTCACACACACTCACACACACACACTCACACACACTCACACACACACACTCACACACACTCACACACACACACTCACACACACTCACACACACACACTCACACACACTCACACACACACACTCACACACACTCACACACACACACTCACACACACTCACACACACACACTCACACACACTCACACACACACACTCACACACACTCACACACACACACTCACACACACTCACACACACACACTCACACACACTCACACACACACACTCACACACACTCACACACACACACTCACACACACTCACACACACACACTCACACACACTCACACACACACACTCACACACACTCACACACACACACTCACACACACTCACACACACACACTCACACACACTCACACACACACACTCACACACACTCACACACACACACTCACACACACTCACACACACACACTCACACACACTCACACACACACACTCACACACACTCACACACACACACTCACACACACTCACACACACACACTCACACACACTCACACACACACACTCACACACACTCACACACACACACTCACACACACTCACACACACACACTCACACACACTCACACACACACACTCACACACACTCACACACACACACTCACACACACTCACACACACACACTCACACACACTCACACACACACACTCACACACACTCACACACACACACTCACACACACTCACACACACACACTCACACACACTCACACACACACACACACACACAACAAGGTAATACCATGGTACTTTTCGTAACTTCTTACTCTTAGACTCGCTCAGTCACTAATTATACAGTATATTAAGATAACATCCCCATACTATTATTATCACGTAAAATAAATGTGACTGAATTAATAATACATATTTACATTTATAGAGGAATATACTTTCATTCCAGGCCTGAGCGAGTGAACAATATTCATCATCTCGTGACCGCACCAACACACGATTAAACATTAAACAGTCATATTTATACTCACATGTGTAAAATAAAGCGGTGATCAGAAGTTTAACGCAGTTTATTGAGATTAAATCTTCCATCTTTCTCATTCACAGATCAGCAGTATGATCAGCTTGTTTTCTTCCGGTTCCGGATCTCTCTTGTTCGGCGCGTGAGACTCGCTGCTGCCGCTGTCTCCACAGCGACACCCGCCGGCGACATCGCGTTACTACCGCACGCGAGCGTGTGTGTGTGTGTGTGAGTGTGTGTGTGTGTGTGTGTGTGAGCGTGTGTGTGTGTGTGTGAGCGTGTGTGTGAG